TCATGAGAGTTTTTAAAAGGGTTAAAAGGATTGTCAATCTCTGATGCTTTATTGGGAGATGAAGTCAAGCCTAATGGCTAATGCACTGGACTCCAGGTTGAGAGATCTGGGTTCTAGCAAAGCATCAGCCTGATAAAATGATGGGAGTGACCTTGCAATGAATAGGGGATGCCTCACACTAAGGAAACTGGGATTAACCCTGGCTGGATTGGCCACTTTGCTCAAGTACAGACAAATACTTTGTGGAGTCCTTGATTCGATCATGCACCTGCCACACTCACACCTACAAATCAAAGAGTTTTGCTCAAAATCATACATAACAGAGAGAAGGCTACTCTACCTGATCCTACAAGGTTTGTTATTGATACCTACACTACGTACAAACCTCATCAACTGAAGCTCTGTCAGGACCCTTTAGAGAGGATGCTGCACTGTTCAGTCGAGATAGGCGGCTTTCAGCCCGACTAGCCATGTCCGCACGGCTCCCTAAAATGACAGATCGTGAGGTATTGGTGAACACAAAACAACAATATAGCCTTGGATCTTTGTCAAATTGCGCAGCAGTTTCCTTCATTATGCTGAATTTTATTACCTGCATGGCAGAGAATTATAAGTGGTTATGTAAATAGGTCATAAAATTCCATATGACCAATCAATATTGTGTCAAAACGCCTTCCGTTTACATGATGTACACTACGAAGCTTAATGTTGCTGTTTTGAAAAAAAGTTTTTCAATAAGGAGATATACAGTATATTGAGATATTTTTATTTGGAAATTTGCCAGAGGAAAGAATTAGGAGAGAGATCTGTTAATTCTATTTGCGGTTTTATGTTCGCAGGTGTTTCTGGTAGCTTTATATTTTTTTGTAGTTGACAGATGTTCTCGATGACAAAAGACTCTCGGTTGAATGTGAAGCAGTCTAATGTTACTAACACTCGTTAGATCTCAGTTACCAAAAATTGTATAAGGGTGTAAAATAAATTATAAAATGCTCTCATCATTGAATCGATTTCCTCACAGACGAGCATTGCTGTATGAAATCGCTTGTGTGATTTGCACACTTACGCATAATTTTAGCGTCATAAAATTTAAAGGGAGAGTATTTAGAATGTGCGCTGCAGTCATAATTGCGCTTAATTTACTGTTTCTCTTCATGATACGGTTTTAGAAATTTAAGCTACTCTGAAGAAAAAAGCGATAACATAACCACGATGCTATAAGACAGATAGAATACGTGTAAGTTAATACCCCACCGAGGAAAAAGAATTTGTGCTTACCGAAAATTGGTATTGTTGGCTTATTGGGATCTTCAGCGATTTTCACTTCCACACCTTCTGGAATGCCCGCAAATCCGTCGTATCTTGGGCTTCGTTGTCCACCAAAGCCATTCGACGAACGAGTTAGCCTGTAAGGCACTTGATCTGCCGTTATAGGTCTTAATGCACAGAATTTTTGGCGGTCGAGGTCTTGTCCGAAAGTCAAACTTTGCCGTGAAGCAACACGCGAACCGTCACGAGACAAACCTCTTACATTCAGATTCGTGGGGTCCTCCATCCTCGATAACGGGTGCGGAATTGCTGGTAGGTTAGTAGTAGCCATTTTGACGAAACTTTCCCTCCGTAAGAGCTAGTTCCCTTGTCGAATTTTCACCATCCGTTCCGAAAATGCCAACAGGGCAACTTGATATCAGTTGATTTAGTGTGCTTGCGGTGCGCATAAACTGTCCGGTTGCCACGCAACTGACTATTACGGTCGAGTGATTCGCATTATTAAAATGACTCAAAATATTTATATTACTTTATTATATTGTCTCCCACTATGCGACATTTACATCGCTTGGCATCTACGGGGTAAAACACCTTTAGATAACCCTTATTTTCTTTGACACATTTCATTACAAAAACCACAGAGACAGTTTTGCCTATGCAAAATATAAATATGTACAATAATGTCAGGTGAAACTACCAGACATTTTTTGTCTGTATGGCCACTGCAGACGTTCGATCGCGTGCTGTCTTTCAAAGAAATAAACATTGAATACGTAAAACCTCGCCTGCAGACGCGTAATTTTGGCGAGCGAGTGCTCCGCGGTATATTTTCTCGCTGAAAATTACAGCAGTCATCTTTGTTTTTACTGCAGCGGAAGGCTGAGGAGAGGAAGAAATTCGTTAATCAAATCAAAATATCTGGTCGAATGAGCGTTCATGAGCTTGTTACACTTGTGACATTATCAACTCGTCCTGATAAGACCCCTACTCCGCAAGCTAAGTTGCGCCAGACTCCTAGATTCACAATAACGTTGTTAACATGTTTTCGAAAGAATCACATTTGACATATGGAAATATAATCCTCTCCCACCCCACCCCCACCAAGCAAGAATTAGCATTATTCTGAAAAATCAAGAGCTATAGCTAGGGGTATAACAAGCATTTCTACCAACAATACAAATGTCTTATTTTCAAAATCAAAAATTGCTTATCTTTGCGTAAGAAAACCAAGCTAAATGAAGATTCCAAGATTATCAATTAAGTGTACTTTCATTGTACTGGTAAAGCTGTTCTTAGAATATAATACTTGAAAACGTGACAGAACAGCGATTAAAATAATCATATTTCGAAATTGCGTGTCTTTTCAAGGACAAGAACAGGCAGTTCTCAACATAAGGTTTTGGGTACTTTTTCGGAAACAATCCATCCACATATAGTTTGCATAAAAACTCGATTCTTACGATGTTTGGGAAACGTCTTTGTCACTAGAAACCTGATTATCTCAAAATTCACCGCGTCCGCAAATCCTGTCAAGAATTTCTCTGCCTTAGGCCCAGTTCAAACGTCGAATTTCACATGTGCCGAACTTAACTCCTATTTTAGTCAAATA